CCCCCCCCTTCCCCCAGGAGGGTAGATTGTGACTAGTCTCTACCATCATGTGAAGGGAGTCGAAGGTTCGTCCGGCGTACTTGCTAAAGAACGAATACCAGCCACAGGGTACAGTAGGGTACGGGCCGGTACACCAGCCACAGGGTACAGTAGGGTACGGGCCGGTTCACCAGCCACAGGGTACAGTAGGGTACGGGCCGGTACACCAGCCACAGGGTACAGTAGGGTACGGGCCGGTACACCAGCCACAGGGTACAGTAGGGTACGGGCCGGTACACCAGCCACAGGGTACAGTAGGGTACGGGCCGGTACACCAGCCACAGGGTACAGTAGGGTACGGGCCGGTTCACCAGCCACAGGGTACAGTAGGGTACGGGCCGGTACACCCTCGGCTAACTACCGTCTACCGTCACTTGTCTGTCTACTCCGTCAAGATGATAACATGCACAACAGAGAACAATAATAAGAACCAATATATACAATAATTTGTACAATCAACAATTATATTTATATACACGGAGGTGAGCACATGTGAAGCTGAACACACACACACACACACATGAACACACACACACACACAGATGAACACACACATGAACACACACACACACACACAGATGAACACACACACACACACATGAACACACACACACACAGATGAACACACACACACACACAGATGAACACACACACACACAGATGAACACACGCACACACAGATGAACACACACACACACAGATGAACACACACACACACACAGATGAACACACACACAGATGAACACACACACAGATGAACACACACACACAGATGAACACACACATATACAGATGAACACACACACACACACACAGATGAACACACACACACACACAGATGAACACACACACACACACATGAACACACACACACACACATGAACACACATGCGGCTAAGTACATACAAAATACTAAATCTTAACTCGTAAAACAGCTCTCATGATATTTACAGCAAACAAATCCTAGAACAATGCAATAGGCCTGTTTAGCAATCAAACATAAAATTAGGCCTATGACAATTAAAAACTAAGAAAGCACCATTTAACTAAAACAAAGCTGTCCTATTTACATGCGACGTGTGAGATAATATGTATTTACATAGGATATGCCCGCGTAATTTCTTGGTTTATTCCCAATGAGAAGGCTGGGAAAAAATATTGGGTAAAATTGTGATCTTATTAAAGTATATTAATTTTCTTGAGGTGATGTCGATAGGCTATGATAGGTCAATATAAGCCAGGATGCAAGGTTATTATAGGTTATGGTGTTGGGTCACTATAGACCAAGAGGTGGTGGGGGGTCACTATAGACCAAGAGGTGGGGGGGGGGGGTCACTACAGACCAAGAGGTGGAGGGGGGGGGGGGTTACTACAGACCAAGAGGTGGAGGGGGGTGGGGGGTTACTACAGACCAAGAGGTAGGGGGGGGTTTACTACAGACCAAGAGGTGGTGGGGGGTTACTACAGACCAAGAGGTGGTGGGGGGTCACTACAGACCAAGAGGTGGGGGGGGGGTCACTATAGACCAAGAGGTGGTGGGGGGTCACTATAGACCAAGAGGTGGGGGGGGGGTCACTATAGACCAAGAGGTGGGGGGGGGGTCACTACAGACCAAGAGGTGGTGGGGGGGGTCACTATAGACCAAGAGGTGGGGGGGGGGGTCACTACAGACCAAGAGGTGGGGGGGGGTCACTACAGACCAAGAGGTGGTGGGGGGTTACTACAGACCAAGAGGTGGGGGGGGTCACTACAGACCAAGAGGTGGCGGGGGTGGGGGGTTACTACAGACCAAGAGGTGGGGGGGGTTTACTACAGACCAAGAGGTGGGGGGGTCACTACAGACCAAGAGGTGGTGGGGGGGGGGTTACTACAGACCAAGAGGTGGGGGGGGGTCACTACAGACCAAGAGGTTGGGGGGGTCACTACAGACCAAGAGGTTGGGGGGGTCACTACAGACCAAGAGGTGGTGGGGGGGTTAATACAGACCAAGAGGTGGGGGGGTCACTACAGACCAAGAGATGGGGGGGGGTCACTACAGACCAAGAGGTGGTGGGGGGGGGGGGTCACTACAGACCAAGAGGTGGGGGGGTGTTACTACAGACCAAGAGGTGGGGGGGGTCACTACAGACCAAGAGGTGGGGGGGGTCACTACAGACCAAGAGGTGGGGGGGTCACTACAGACCAAGAGGTTGGGGGGGTCACTACAGACCAAGAGGTGGGGGGGGGTTACTACAGACCAAGAGGTGGGGGGGTGGGGGGGTCACTACAGACCAAGAGGTGGGGGGGTCACTACAGACCAAGAGGTGGGGGGGGGTCACTACAGACCAAGAGGTGGGGGGGGGTCACTACAGACCAAGAGGTGGGGGGGTCACTACAGACCAAGAGGTGGGGGGGTCACTACAGACCAAGAGGTGGGGGGGGGTCACTACAGACCAAGAGGTGGTGGGGGGGTCACTACAGACCAAGAGGTGGGGGGGTGGGGGGATCACTACAGACCAAGAGGTGGGGGGTGGGGGGGTCACTACAGACCAAGAGATGGGGGGGTCACTACAGACCAAGAGGTGGGGGGGGGTCACTACAGACCAAGAGGTGGGGGGGTTACTACAGACCAAGAGGTGGGGGGGTGGGGGGGTCACTACAGACCAAGAGGTGGGGGGGGTTACTACAGACCAAGAGGTGGGGGGGGGTCACTACAGACCAAGAGGTGGTGGGGGGGTCACTACAGACCAAGAGGTGGGGGGGGGGTTACTACAGACCAAGAGGTGGTGGGGGGGTCACTACAGACCAAGAGGTGGTGGGGGGGGTCACTACAGACCAAGAGGTGGTGGTGGGGGGGTCACTACAGACCAAGAGGTGGTGGTGGGGGGGGTCACTACAGACCAAGAGGTGGTCGGGGGGGGTCAATACAGACCAAGAGGTGGGGGGGGTCACTACAGACCAAGAGGTGGGGGGGTCACTACAGACCAAGAGGTGGTGGGGGGAATTCACTACAGACCAAGAGGTGGGGGGGGTCACTACAGACCAAGAGGTGGTGGGGGGGTCACTACAGACCAAGAGGTGGTGGGGGGGGTCACTACAGACCAAGAGGTGGTGGGGGGGGTCACTACAGACCAAGAGGTGGTGGGGGGGTCACTACAGACCAAGAGGTGGTGGGGGGGGGTCACTACAGACCAAGAGGTGGTGGTGGGGGTCACTACAGACCAAGAGGTGGTGGGGGGGGTCACTACAGACCAAGAGGTGGTGGTGGGGGTCACTACAGACCAAGAGGTGGGGGGGGTCACTACAGACCAAGAGGTGGTGGGGGGGTCACTACAGACCAAGAGGTGGTGGGGGGGGTCACTACAGACCAAGAGGTGGGGGGGGGTCACTACAGACCAAGAAGTGGTGGGGGGGTCACTACAGACCAAGAGGTGGGCGGGGGGGGTCACTACAGACCAAGAGGTGGTGGGGGGGTCACTACAGACCAAGAGGTGGTGGGGGGGTCACTACAGACCAAGAGGTGGTGGGGGGGGGTCACTACAGACCAAGACGTGGTGGGGGGGTCACTACAGACCAAGAGGTGGTGGTGGGGGGGTCACTACAGACCAAGAGGTGGTGGGGGGGTCACTACAGACCAAGACGTGGTGGGGGGGGTCACTACAGACCAAGAGGGGGGGTCACTATAGACCAAGAGGGGGGTCACTACAGACCAAGAGGGGGGTCACTACAGACCAAGAAAGGGGTCACTACAGACCAAGAGGGGGGTCACTACAGACCAAGAGGGGGGTCACTACAGACCAAGAGGGGGGTCACTACAGACCAAGAGGGGGGTCACTACAGACCAAGAGGGGGGTCACTACAGACCAAGAGGGGGGTCACTACAGACCAAGAGGGGGGTCACTACAGACCAAGAGGGGGGGGAGGAGTCACTACAGGTCACACGTACTATTTCAATAAGAAATACATGCATGCAGTTTAGGCTAACAGCTCAAGCTTGAATCAAGCTGGAGAACACGTCAAGAAGCAGACGGAGGGAGCATCACCAAGGTAACCCCCCCCCCCCCCACACACACACCAGGTCGAGGAAGGAGCTGTTTAATACAAGTGACACTTAACATGATAAGTTGGAGGATTACCAGGAGCACGACTGATGGCAACAGGTGAAGATGGAGGTTACTGGCACGTAGAGCAGGGTAGCCCCCCCCCCCGTGTACACACGACCCCACACTACTGCTACGTCTACCACCACTATTGCTATGTCTACCACCACTACTGCTACGTCTACCACCACTACTGCTACGTCTACCACCACTACTGCTACGTCTACCACCACTACTGCTACGTCTACCACCACTACCACTACGTCTACCACCACTACTGCTACGTCTACCACCACTACTGCTACGTCTACCACCACTACTGCTACGTCTACCACCACTACCACTACATCTACCACCACTACTGCTACGTCTACCACCACTACCGCTACGTCTACCACCACTACTGCTACGTCTACCACCACTACTGCTGCTACGTCTACCACCACTACTGCTACGTCTACCACCACTACGTCTACCACCACTACCACTACGTCTACCACCACTACCACTACGTCTACCACCACTACTGCTACGTCTACCACCACTACTGCTACGTCTACCACCACTACTGCTACGTCTACCACCACTACCACTACGTCTACCACCACTACCACTACGTCTACCACCACTACGTCTACCACCACTACTGCAGGAGAGAGAGAGAGAGGGGTCCACGAGGGGTGCTAGAGACATGCAGGAGGAGGTTGAAGGACCCACCTCATCACTAAGGTTGACAGGTGCGCCCTCCTCGAGCAGCTGCAGCAGCTTCTTGGTGTTGCCGTGGGCCGCCGCGCGACGCAGGTCCTCTCCCTCGCCTCCACCGATAACATCACCGGCCACGCCCACTCCGGCCACGCCCACACCGGCCACGCCCACTCCAACTACCCCACCGGGCACTCCCGCGCCCACGCCTCCACCAGCCACGCCCCCAGGCACGCCCACCATCACGGACACCAGCGACGACTCGTAGCCTGTTGAAAAGATCAAGTTTTAATATTGAGTCAGTAGAAAAATATTACAAAATTAACAGTGAAAGAATAAATACAATAGAACACAGTGACCCAATATAGGCGTAAGAACCATTTAATTTAATCTTGGTGTCACACACACACACACACACACACTTTTGACACATTTTCAGTGTCAGAGTAGTAAACAAATGGAATGCATTAGGAAGTGATGTGGTGGAGGCTGATTCCATACAGAGCTTCAAGTGTAGATATGATAAGAGCCCAGTAGGCTCAGGAACCTGTACATCAGTTGATTGACGGTTGAGAGGCGGGACCAAAGAGCCAGAGCTTAACCCCCGCAAGCACAATTAGGTAAGTACACACACGGTCCTCGCAGCCGAGAGGACAGCGCTCTGCGGTCGTAGTCGTAAAGGCCCGGGATCAATTTCTGATCGAGGCAGAAATAAATGGACAGTTTCTTTCACGTGATGCCTCTGTTTACCTAGCAGTAAATAGCTACCTGGGAGTTAGACAGCTGCTGCGGGCTTCATCCTTGGGGATGAGTGTGTGTCGGTACATTAGACAACAGACGGTTAGGAAGGCGGGGTCCAAGAGCTAACAGCCTGATCCTGCAGGCACAAAGAGTAAATAAACACGCCAAATTAACCCACGTTAGCATCACAGTTTTTTGTGATCTTATTTTGAATGCTAATCATCACTCAACACAACGACACCTGTTAACATGAGAGCAGACAAGCACACCAATACATTGTGGAGCCGTCCAGACCGCGCCCATGGTGAATGGTAATGTGTTCAGGTGTACGACAGGTGAACCTGACGTCCCTCCCAGCCCTCACTCACCGGGGCTGTCTAACTCCTCCTCCACGCTCTCCATACCTTGTGGCTACCTTGTCTAAGCTTCCGGAGATTAACGGCCCCGTTGACCTGACGAGCAACCGGGAGGCCTGGTCAACCAGGCTGTTGGATGCGGCTGCTCGCAGCCATGACATATGAATCACAGCCTGGTTGATCAGGTGTTCAGGCGTTTGTCGAGTTCTCTCTTGAACACTGTGAGAGGCCGGCCGGTTATGTGTAGCGGGAGAGAGTTGAACAGTCTCGGGCCCCTGATGTTGATAGGGTTCTCCCTCAGCACCTCTATTGCACTTCTTCCTTCCTACGGGGTATTCTGCACATCCTGCCATGCCTACTGGTCTCTTGTGGTGGTATTTCTGTGTTCAGATTTGGAACCAGTCCCTCGGGTTCCTATGTGGGCGCTGAGGCAACACCTGATTAGTGTTTTTTATTATTTTTAGTATATGTACTACAGAAGCGATCACCTGTACGTCACCTTGAAGCACCTGTACGACCAGGGGATAGTCCGTCAGAGGTGGTGGATCACCTGACAAGGATATATTTTTTTTTTTGCAGGGATGAGCGGGCCCTAAGCCTGTGGCTGCTCCACTAAGTGTTACTTGTTTCTTGTTTCTGTTTTACTTAGGTGGAGTATGAGTATTTATGACTCTTATGTTCGCTTCAGTAAGATTATATACCCCATGTGTTTAACAACTGCTCTGTTGATTCTAATTTGAAACCTTAATGGGTTAGTAGCTGTGCACTGTGTTAGATGATGCAGTACAAAGTTACACGAATAATTGATGATAAGCCAATAGAAAGGAGGATAATTCTGGAACAAGCAACATGTGAAGAACTCCACCGTGTTGTTGAACCGGTTGTCTTTGTTCCCTTTTTCGGGAACCAAAGACAACCTATTTATCACGGAGAGGATCAAAGTAAATAGAAAAGCCAAGCTGGCATTCAAAGAAGACTGAACGATAATATATAAAGCCAACAGGATCTGGGCGGAGTATTGTAAGAGGTTCGAACATAACTGAGTGAAGTATTTATGGTCAAAAATTTAAATATAGTTAACAGTTCAAAACGCTCTTCACTAAAGCCAAGGCCCGGGAGCTGGAACCCCACATAACCCCACGCACATCTCTGGGTCACATGAGTAAACCATGCACAGTTAGGTTAAATTCCGGTCAATGGAACTTAAATTTGATTTCATATAAATTGCAGGGTTGGGGTTGGGGGGCTGTAGATGCCGTTATTTCTTAAAGTGTGACACTTGGACCAACCCGAACTGGCCTATGACACTCCTATATATATATATATATATATTATTAAATATGACCGAAAAAGTAAGATTAATAATTCTAACACGAATTTTCTCAATCTTTCGTACATTACGCTTCACTGTTGGAGGTAAATCAAAAATCACTTCTCCAAAATTCATTTTTATTTCTAGTCTGACGCGACACGGGCGCGTTTCGTAAAACTTATTACATTTTCAAAGACTTCACAAATACACAACTGATTAGAACGTATCTCTGATTTTATATCTACATTTGAGTGAGGTGGGAAGGGTGATGTGGCATTAACACAAGACAGAACAGGAGGGGATATTAATAGGGTATTAAAAGTATCAACACAAGACAGAACAGAAACAATGGGTATTGAATAGAAGTGTTTGTAGAAAGCCTATTGGTCCATATTTCTTGATGCTTCTATATTGGAGCGGAGTCTTGAGGTGGGTAGAATATAGTTGTGCAATAATTGGCTGTTGATTGCTGGTGTTGACTTCTTGATGTGTAGTGCCTCGCAAACGTCAAGCCGCCTGCTATCACTGTATCTATCGATGATTTCTGTGTTGTTTACTAGGATTTCTCTGGCGATGGTTTGGTTATGGGAAGAGATTATATGTTCCTTAATGGAGCCCTGTTGCTTATGCATCGTTAAACGCCTAGAAAGAGATGTTGTTGTCTTGCCTATATACTGGGTTTTTTGGAGCTTACAGTCCCCAAGTGGGCATTTGAAGGCATAGACGACATTAGTCTCTTTTAAAGCGTTCTGTTTTGTGTCTGGAGAGTTTCTCATGAGTAGGCTGGCCGTTTTTCTGGTTTTATAGTAAATCGTCAGTTGTATCCTCTGATTTTTGTCTGTAGGGATAACGTTTCTATTAACAATATCTTTCAGGACCCTTTCCTCCGTTTTATGAGCTGTGGAAAAGAAGTTCCTGTAAAATAGTCTAATAGGGGCTATAGGTGTTGTGTTAGTTGTCTCTTCAGAGGTTGCATGGCTTTTCACTTTCCTTCTTATGATGTCTTCGATGAAACCATTGGAGAAGCCGTTATTGACTAGGACCTGCCTTACCCTACAGAGTTCTTCGTCAACTTGCTTCCATTCTGAGCTGTGGCTGAGAGCACGGTCGACGTATGCGTTAACAACACTCCTCTTGTACCTGTCAGGGCAGTCGCTGTTGGCATTTAGGCACATTCCTATGTTTGTTTCCTTAGAAACAAAATCAGAGAAATCCTAGTAAACAACACAGAAATCATCGATAGATACAGCGATAGCAGGCGGCTTGACGTTTGCGAGGCACTACACATCAAGAAGTCAACACCAGCAATCAACAGCCAATTATTGCACAACTATATTCTACCCACCTCAAGACTCCGCTCCAATATAGAAGCATCAAGAAATATGGACCAATAGGCTTTCTACAAACACTTCTATTCAATACCCATTGTTTCTGTTCTGTCTTGTGTTGATACTTTTAATACCCTATTAATATCCCCTCCTGTTCTGTCTTGTGTTAATGCCACATCACCCTTCCCACCTCACTCAAATGTAGATATAAAATCAGAGATACGTTCTAATCAGTTGTGTATTTGTGAAGTCTTTGAAAATGTAATAAGTTTTACGAAACGCGCCCGTGTCGCGTCAGACTAGAAATAAAAATGAATTTTGGAGAAGTGATTTTTGATTTACCTCCAACAGTGAAGCGTAATGTACGAAAGATTGAGAAAATTCGTGTTAGAATTATTAATCTTACTTTTTCGGTCATATTTAATAATATATGTCTACAGGAAAGACTGCTACCAAAATATACTAATATATATATATATATATATATATATATATATATATATATATATATATATATATATATGTCGTACCTAATAGCCAGAACGCACTTCTCAGCCTACTATTCAAGGCCCGATTTGCCTAATAAGCCAAGTTTTCATGAATTAATGTTTTTTCGTCTACCTAACCTCCCTAACCTAACCTCACCTAGCTTTTTTTGGCTACCTAACCTAACCTTACCTATTAATATAGGTTAGGTTAGGTTAGGTAGGGTTGGTTAGGTTCGGTCATATATCTACGTTAATTTTAACTCCAATAAAAAAAAAAATGACCTCATACATAGAGAAAAGGGTTGCTTTATCATGTCATAAGAAAAAAATTATAGTAAATATATTAATTCAGGAAAACTAGGCTTATTAGGCAAATCGGGCCTTGAATAGTAGCCTGAGAAGTGAGTTCTGGCTACTAGGTACGACATATATATATATATATATATATATATATATATATATATATATATATATATATATATATATATTGTGGTGCCAATCTATAAAAATGAGAACAAAGACAAAGACGAAATGATAACAAGAACAAATGTAACTTTAATTATCATCTTGACATTACAAAATAATAATAATAATAATAATAATAATATATACTTAAATTACAACATATATTTCTTACAAATCCTTACAACTGGCACATATTTCCCCAAAATTTGATACATCACTTCCAGAACACAATAGAACCATCCAGAGAGCTGCTACGGGTCTCAATACTGAACCAATAGAACCATCCAGAGAGCTGCTACGGGTCTCAATACTGAACCAATAGAACCATCCAGAGAGCTGCTACGGGTCTCAATACTGAACCAATAGAACCATCCAGAGAGCTGCTACGGGTCTCAATACTGACCCAATAGAACCATCCAGAGAGCTGCTACGGGTCTCAATACTGAACCAATAGAACCATCCAGAGAGCTGCTACGGGTCTGAATACTGACCCAATAGAACCATCCAGAGAGCTGCTACGGGTCTCAATACTGACCCAATAGAACCATCCAGAGAGCTGCTACGGGTCTCAATACTGAA